AACAATTAATTTTAAACACACATTTCATGGGATGCACAAATTTTCTACCACATATTTCATCATTTTTTTTAATCAAAATTTACTAAAAATCTAATTTTACTCTCTATCAAACAGTGTTTATTACTTTGTTTTAAAAAAAAATTATTTGATCTTTTTTAATATTTTAAAGCATTATTTAATTAGTAGGACATTATGATCCTTGATCCGATCTAACGATTTGATGTGCAAGACCTATCTACCAATCTGAGTTGCAAGAACTACACGAGTTATAACCTTGTAAGCAAGAACAAGCATGGTAGCAGATGAATTGATGAAAAACATGTATTCTGTTAAAAGAATCATACTAATTAAATCGAACCATTTCTTTTAATCTTGAAACCAAGTTGTCAACACGTGCAATGTAAAACAAAATTCTTTCATGTCACGATGCATGCTCGTGCACATTCATATAGGTTATCGTACCTCTCGTGAATGTCATGAACAAATCGTAGTATATCCTCAAGGCGTTCCTTGTGCTAGCTAATGGGTATGGCATAGTCATTGGATGAATATACTTACTGGTTAAAACTTAAGTAGTTCATTAAACATTTTGAGTAAATAGCATCCTCAAGGCATACCTTGTGCTAACGGGTACATCAACATATGATCTTGTCTCAAGACCTTAAGGCTCTGTTTGATTGCAAACTTTTGCATGAAAAATGTCACATTCGAAGAAAACGAATTTCACTTTGACAATTTGATTGCAACGTGGAAATGAAAATCGAATTCCAGTATATAACCACTTAAGCTGCATTTTCTTTATTTTCATGGAAAACGAATTTTTATGAGTTTGGTAGGTTTTTATTTTCCACCTCACATGAAATTGAAATTCATTTCCACATTTACCTATCAAACGGACCCTAATTGATACTAGCAAATATAAATGGTTGTGCATAGAGAGAGGAAGTTATTGTCTCCAAGTTTACTAGATCCCGTTTAACCCTCATTATTTGAAATTTTAATCGTTGGAATAGTATTTTTTTTTTTTGAAAAATGTGCAATTAAAAAAGAAGAAAAAGTTCTAGAATTACGTGTAATATTTTTTTTTATTAAAGAATATGTGATTAATAAGAAGAAAGAAAAAAATGAATTATAATTTTAATGGGACCAAACAATACTAACAACTATATATGATTATCCATTGAGTCCTAAAGTTGTTGTCTTCTAACAGTGTCCAAATGAATTATCTAATCTTTTATTAAAAAAAAGGATGAACTGCATCCTTAGCGGCCCCCACCTGTCCTGTCATGGGTTTTAGTGAATGAGGTAAATCGCAAGTTATGCCTCCAAAGATATAAGGTGAAAGGCTGCTTTTACACTTGCATTTACTCAAGAGCCAAATCCATATTTCAGGATTCGAACCCTTGACGCGACAGCCTCAAGCAAAGGTGGAGTTTTTCCACCTCCACCTTTTACCACTTGGAGATTCGCAAGTTATGCCTCCAAGGATATAAGGTGAAAGGCTACTTTTACACTTGCATTTACTCAAAAGCCAAAACCATATTTCAGGATTCGAACCCTTGACGCGGCAGCCTCAAGCAAAGGTGGAGTTTTTCCACCTCCCCCTTTTACCACTTGGAGATGTGCCCTGTGGGCAACTAATATAAAAGCATACCTAAGTTTAGCAACTATAGGCTCTGTTTGGGAGTACCTAAGTTTAGCAACTATTTATTATTAGCTGCAATAACAATGACTTCGATATTTCTAGCACGATGGGTTTCTGGTCGACTCAGTATATTTTTACTGGCAAACGTCCGTCAATGTTTACGCTGACAACAACCTCTTTTGGGCATTGCCTCTTATAACAAACAGTAGAAATAATCACACTATTCATTCTTGTGGGATAATAATTATTTTAAATAACTTTTTTTATTTGAAGGTAGGAGAATTAATAATTTATTCAAATATTTTTCAAAATAAAGAAAGTAAAAACTAATTTACGTAAATGTATTTCAAAATAAAATTTATTTAAAAAGTTAGCTTTTAATTACTTTTGAGATTAGCCAAACGTGCTATTAAAGTTTCTAATAATACTAAGGGAACACAAATGGGACCTTCACTGTATGAACATAAACAATAAAAGTAGTACTTTAATGTTACTGATAAACGCTTTCTAATTCTCTTGCATAATCGTCAAATCAAATCGATATTTTTTAATCCTACTAGGTGCAAGCAACGTGTAAT